CTTCTTATCAAGGTTCCCCTGTACAGCCATAACATCGCTTCAAACATATAGAGTGTTCAAAAAGAGGTTTTGTAAACATATAAATATAACTACACGTTATGTTTTTGAAAATATTACTGATCCAAAATGTAAACTCATGCCTATTTCTAAAATAAGGACCCATGCCTAATCAACGACTCAATGTATAAAGATGATGTATTAATCCACACAGTGCAGTATTAACTGTAGGCTATGTGTACTTCAATTAAGTGGGATTTGAGGAGATGGTGTGAATTTTCGTGGGTTTAATTGTTTTAGTATTTCTAGTGTGTTTTATAGTAGGTATCTTGTATAATTCAGTTTTTTTTTTATATTTGTTGAACTTAACAAGAACTTAGGTTTGCTACAACAAGGAGGGTAAAAAAGTGTTTTTTTTTTCAAAATGTTAATAGTTTAGTAAAAAATGAATGTTTTTTCCGAATTTGATCTAAATATGTTCATAAAAAAGTAAACCACAGTTGACTTATTGACTTATTCTTAAATCTTGAGGAGATATTTGTTGTTGTTGTATGTACATTACTTTCAAAATCTATACGCTTTTTCTGAAGTCCAAATTAATATTGAATATTTTTGTATGCACAGTACTTTGTTAATGTTATTATCTGTTATTGTTGTTACGTTGTTGTCTTGTTATTATTTTTGTTGCAATGCTGCTTTGTTCAATGGTCATTATGTAACTTATCTTGTTATATTTTTATCTTTTCATTCTGCTCATGTGCTTAAAACACGTATTATTTTGTAAATGGTGTATCGGTTGATATGAATCTATATAAATAAAATTAGATAAATAAATAAGTACAGTACAATTAATTAATTAAGCTTTTTGCCACCGTGTCGGAAGACACAGGTTCGAACGGGAAATTTAGTTCCCGTTCAGTACTGACTACATCACTGCATTTACCTGGCAGTGTTGCCATGCGGCGGGAGGAAAGTTAAATTCAGGGGCGTATACTCGCTGAATTAAATTAGTTATTGAGCCAAACTATCTATGACTAAACTATACGTGTGGCATTTGTTGTTCAATACTGGCATGTTACCGGTAAGTTAAACTATAATTATGGGGTCTTTTTTCATATTTTCTTGCCCCAAAGCTGGTTCTATAACTAAATTGAAGTGTTACATTCGTCAGCCAGCTCAGCTCCTGTATTGTTAGTATTGTTACGGCCGTTTCAGCTTCATTGTGCTATCATCAAACTGTTCGGCCAAAGGCGTTGTTATAACACAGAAACATTTCCACACGAAACACACACATAGGCAAAATTGGTTAAAAAAAGGCCTGTTAATAAATCGACCGCAGAGGAAGGTGGTATTCTGAAAGAGAAAGAAATTTTCTACAATTACTAGGCATTTCTTGAAAATACTTAATAAAGGTAGGAAAAAGTTTCCTCCAAATAAAAAAAAAACGTGTAAAATACAATTGTTTTCTATTTATTATGGAAAACAGGGTTTTTTATTTATCACCATAAACCATAACTAAAACAAACTTTCATAATTCATTATTTGCAAATCTTAATCTCCGCACGAATCAAGCCATCAGTCCAGTGAAACTGTATATTATATATATTAACAAAAGTATACCGTGCAGATAATAACAAAAAATATTCAATATCATCATTAGTTTGGACTTCAGAAGAAGCGTATAGATTTTGAAAGTACAACAACAACAAATATCTCAAGATTTAAGAATAAGTTAACTAGCTGTGGTTTGCTTTTTATGAACATATTTTGATCAAATTCGGAAAATACATTCATTTTTTATTAAACTATTAACATTAAAAAAAACACTTTTTTACCGTCCTTGTTGCAGCAAACCTAAGTACTCGTTAAAAATTCTATTTAAATAGGGAATAAATGTGGTATTTTTAAGGAGGCATTTTTAGTGTACACCCAATCAGGCAAATGGAAATTCGCTTAGTCTGCAGGTTTGCAGTGGTGGGGTTTTACATTCAAGTTTTATACATTCAAGTATAATACTATTTGAAACGATAAAAAGTGGGGCGGGGGATCTTTACATAATAGTTTTATGATTATAAAAACTCGTTGTAAGCTGACCGCTAAAGACGTTAGCTGGACTTCAAGCTCAAAATAACTTAAGATTATACTGGATACCAAAAGATGTTACATGATCATGACCATAATTGTTGGACACATTATTTTACATCGTGGTAATTATATCGACCTCCGGACCTCACGCGAAATTAAAAATTTTTTTTTCCAAAATGTTCGAAATTTCACGCTGATTTCAAAAATGATTGTCGTTTTTTCGGAAACGTCCCGTTTTCCCGGAAAATGGGAAAAACGGGAAAAATATTCTTTTGCTCAAAACCCATGTTGTGGGTACTCAAATTGTGCGGAATTTCCTCCTGAACAAGAATATGTAAATTTTATTACGATCGGACCACTATTAAGTAAAATATCACAGAAAAACGGGAAAACGGGGAAATTTTTCTTTGCTCAAAACCCATGTTGTAGGTACCATGAAAACGGCAAAGGAAAAATATTATAGGACCAAAATTATTGTTGGGTACCGGTACATTATTTTACATCATATAACATTATCCATTTTTGTGAATAATTAATACAATCAGAAGAGTAAAAAAGAAAGAGTGTATGATGATGCTATCAACAACGGGGAAAATACAAAAAACTCCATAATTAAAAACGAATTCCTTCCCATCCTCAAATTCAAATGATAATAGGCCTACTGTACGCATTTTGTTTTCATCCACCGTTTTTACAGCTTTCTCCATTCCAAATTTTCATTGTAGGAATATTTAATCAAACACTAAACGGTACGATGTTATTTCTTGCCTAAATTAGATATTTATGTCAAGTAAAGAAGGCTCCTACCAAAATAAAAACTTGTTTTATCCTACAAATATAACGAAGCAAACTCAAAGTTTCAGAAATATTTTGATCAAATACTTTTCCTCGTAAACAAACGCATCCACGTACGTATTCTAAGTTCATTTAAGCGTTTCTTAACTATGAAATTTCGGTTAGTTTATTAATTATATGAAATTTTAAAACAACATTTTAAGCCTTCGTCTGAATTTTACACTCACAGATGTGTAGTTTTGATTCCTCACAACCTAAGATTAATCAAAAATCAACCATACTTAATCAAGATATAAAAATTGTGATCATTGGAATAAAATTATTGTATTTATATGTTGCGTACGTTGGTATTGTACAAGTAAATTGCTCGTTTATGTTATAAAACTGTGAAAATAAGTTTCTCTATGGATTCAATTCTGTGCGTTACTCTATGCTATATCAATTTTCGTCTTTTTCGCTGTTGCCCTCCCTCCATCCCCACCACTTCCACAAATGGGGTTCCAGGTTCCACCTAGAAGGATCAAGTCAGGATTTAGGGTTTAGTTAAGTCAGACCCGTCATATGCATGTACCTTGCAAATTACGGCAATAAAAATTTTCTGATTTCTGATTTCCCTCAGCTAATGAGAAGCCCGCCCACAGCTGTCGTAAGCTCGTCTATAATACCTCCCCTGTAAATACCGATGTTGAATAAGAGCACAGAAAACGTACTACTATAACCTATTGCATTTGCATGGCAACGCTGGTGGCGCTGGCGCTGCCTACGGATTGACAGGCAAAGCTCTCTCAAACCGCTTAATGCCAATGCTTTTTACCATGCGGTTGGCATTCTAGGTTATAGCATAGTAGTTTTATTTATTTATTTCCTCTCAACGGTTACACCATTTTACAGCGAATATATGGTATGTTACATGTTGTATCTAATAAGCCACAAAATATTGAGCAACAGTAACTATTCTAGTAATAAATATACAATAAATAACAAATAATATAACAATAACAAAAGCATAAAGAGATTTAAACACATTAACAATAATAGTATCAACAATTTTGACTAGATCAAGTACAAGTGATTGATGTTACAAACATGGCTGATATTGACAAATAAAACAATGAAGAAATGAAAAGAATTAAATTGTAGGACACTTGATTATGTATGAAGCCTGACTACATTGAGAAACAAGAAACAGTTGATGACACAGAGATAAAATAGTTATTTGTGTAACTAGTGGTGAAAGTGGCACTTTGCTGCACACGAGAGCAATGTTTACGCACGAGCCGCAGGCGAGTGCGGAATGATCTCGAGTGCAGCAAAGGCCTTTTCACTCGTGTTACACATTATATTTTTCCTACAGTCACTATAAAACATAAATAATTAGTCTTTCAAACACTATACAACACGTTTTTAGGTTCAGCTAGCAACACAATTACACAAATGGTGCCCTGGAGAAAGTAGTACCCGTGGTCCGTATCACTCCGCTATTTTTCCTCGGCAAGAAATGTGCTCCGTCTTTTGAGAATATAGTTCCGTATGTTTTTGTAATTTGAAGTGGTTTCCGCGCCTAAAAAAATGCTTTAAAGGTATTTTCTTGTTTATTAAGACCGTAGGAATGTTTTAAAAACGTTTAAAAGAAAAGTCCAGAAAGTTCAGAAATACCAAAACTATAAACACGAAATGACAGGTTAAATCGTAGTTATAATAGTCAATCAGCTGTTCATAGTATTATTATCTTTAAGTGTTGCCAACCTATTTCCAAGCGTACACGGATTACGTGCATAATAAAACCACGCTGTTTTGTTTTGTTTGGTTGGAATCCTGATGTGCGGCAAAGTATAAACCGTGCGGCAAAGTATAAACCGTACGGCAAAGTATAAATATGCAGCAATTAGCAGCTTTCTGTACTATAAACAGTACAGGGAAGCCAACTTTGTCGGGTGACTGTAGGAAAAACAACAACAACAACAGGGAGATAATAAAATTTGAAGTTATGTAGTACGTAGTACAGTAGTACGTTTTCTGGGATAAGAGTGAGCAATTGTTGTCTGGAATGGAGTGAGGAGTGAGTGAAACACTGCTAGTACTACTGTACTGTTGCTGTTGCTGTAGCTGTAGTGACAAGTGTTGAGTGTGACTAGTGTGAGTGTTGTTGTGTTGACGTTTTTAATGTTTGTTTTTATGCTTGCACGACGGCTGCTCGCTTGCTGTAATTGAGCAAAAGTCAAGTCTTAAACGTAGGCTACATTCGTGTAGTTGTAAACCCAGTATTGTAGTTTCTAGAAGTGATCAGGTTAAAGTCGGGTCTTAATTTGCTAGTATAATATGTTTTCTTATTTACATTTTAACCTAAATTAGGCCTACATTGCTTGAAACTTGAAACACGAACTTTATACTCCCTAGGAGGTTTAAATAGCCTATAAGTTAGAGTTAGGTTAGTTTTGCAGAATAATTTGTTTATTTTAATGCAAAATGTTGAAGAAGGACACATTCCGTTCTAAAATAGATCTTGAAAACAATCCATTTGCCAAGGTTTTTCCCAATATGGAAGCAGCAAAAAGGTACGCTAAAAAAGTGAAACAATTTGGAAGGACTGTCTTCTATCACGAACTACATGGTGATCTCGTGGGAGATGATCTAACACTAAATTTGATTGTGGAAGAAGTATTCAATTTAACTCTTTGTAATGATCCACCCTCTTTTAACCGAGGGGAGACACATTTAGTATACCTGAGTATTGAAGACATATCTGGTACTGATAAACTTACAGCTAACAACATTGATATTTTGGGATTGGTTTTGATGGAGAGGTTGTTATTGGAAAATCCTTCTTCACACTTGAAATCGTTGAAAAGCTCACCAAACATTCCAAATCATGCAGTTGAAACACGTACTATATTCTACTTGTTTGAGTGTTTCCGAAGATTACAGAAAAAGAAAGAAAATAAAAAAGAACTTCCCAAAGTGATTTGTCAAATGATAGATTTTGTCATACAAAATGCCGCTACAGCATTAAGTCAGCCGGAGGTGTATGAAAAACAAGATTTATCTCAACAGGTGAGTTTTCAAATGACAATTTGGTGGTACTGTAACTTAGACCTATAACTTAATTACCTCGTCATAATTACAAATTTGGATTAAATTACGGTACACGGTAGCCTACGGTACACTGAATACGACAAAGATAACGGCTGCAGTTTCATAAGTGTCCCGCAGCAATCGAATGAAATTTTTGACATAAGTTTACTTATAGATTATTTCATTCGATATATTAAGTTTGGTTACATCTTAGTTAGGTTCTTAACACGTTCACTGCGTTATATATTTTCCTGCATTATTCCAATGGTGCGTTACGAGATCTAGGCCTATAGGTCTCGTCCGCTATGATTACCCAGGTGCGATATGAGTCCCCGAGATTACGTTGTGCAGTAATCTTTTGCGCATCATAACCTCGCAAAGAAAGGAGAGAGAGCGCTGAGTGTTTGTTTATGTGAACCAGTACAATGTTGACAATCTTCAGCCAGCCCAAGAAGTGAATAAGTTATGACGTCATTGTACGAGACCCCGAGATCTTGTACTGCACAGCTGTAATAGTTCATTATTTATTTGTATTTATTCTTTTCCTACAATAACAATATTTCTTGGGGTTTCTTCTTTCATCCAAAGGTTGCCATAGTTACTACTAATCATCCCATTAGCCTCATGTGGTGCTTGAAACATCTATTTTTGATACGAGACCCAGAGGTCTCATATCGTGATAAAGTAAAAGTTTATTACTTCAGTGTGTTACGAGATCTATTATCTCGTTCATTTCATGTTTACTAGTTATTACATCAAGAAAAATGCATTAACTTGTACATATGTCCAGGTTTGATTTCTTTACGATAACTGTACGCCGAAATATCGATGTCATAACTTTAGGAAAGAAGCCAAACTATGGGTCCCGCACTACGGGCTAGGTACGATACGAGACCTCGGGATCTCGTAGCGCAGTGAACGTGTTAAAAACCTAACCTATCTAACCAAATGAAATAATTGTTAAATTAGGCCTAGGCCTATATCTAAAAATCGATAGGCTTATATCGATATTTTTCATTTAAATGTTCTGCGGTTCCGACACTTATGAAACTGCAACCAAGACAACTTTCAAGCTCCTAAATTAGGTGTGGTAAAGATTTCCATATAATAGGTGTGAATAAATTTGTATTTGCAGAGATCAATCAATTAGTAAAAGATATTTTTCTTTTTTTCTTTACAGTGTTCATCTAATGTTTTTAACAGTACCTAGGCCTACATTTGATTGTATTGCAATTGCAAATCTTGTCCCAAATAATAGCTAGAAATAAGCGTGTACCATCATTTGAACAATAAGAATAAGAATAAGAAAGTTTATTGCCATTGACCAAGTTGTACATAGGAATAGGCATTGTCAAATTACATTAAATAAAATAAAATATCACTAAACATGTTCATATATATAGATCCCTTTAAAACCTTTAAAACAAGCTAGGCCTATTAGTAATATGCTCATAACTTTCAGATTTTAGATCTGTTTGAAGAAAATCTCCCGCCATGCCCAGAGGTGACAGAGTTTCTTGGTGTTGTGGCAGACCGAATTTTCCGAGATGAAAAAGCAGAAGCAGTATTTATCGCATTTTCACAAATTTTGGATATGGTGCAAAAAGAATTAGATTCTTCAAATCTCCTGATATACAAACCTTCCAGATTAAGTCTGATACATAGTTTTGCGTCAAATACAAAGTTAGCTCAAGTAAGTATAAGTTGCCATATTCTATTCACTGGTCACTCAGTCATGTAGGACAATTAATTGTTGCCAGTCTAATTTTCCTAACCTTAAAAAATAAAAATGATTAAGCAAGTAGGCCTAGTAGCATATACACAGAATATAGTCTCTGTATCAATGTTAGTAACTTAGTTATATTCACCACCAAAATCATAGGTATATGGGTATTGTTTGCAAGTTTAGTTCAACATATTGAGGAGATAATCAATATCCCATCATTCCTGTTCACGGTTTTAACAGCACTGCAGAAGATAATCATGATTTCTCCACGATCCCAAGAACAAGAACATTTAAGAATTTACGGCCACAATTTGAGATGTTCGCGATATCACTTCATTTGCAAGTGATGTTCATACAGGGTGCGGCAAAAAACCCGATCTATTTTATGTAGCCCACTGTTCAGTAACAAGTAGTCTGAGAGTGGTGGGGTTAGGCTCATTGGAAAGCCTACACGATGCCATTATCTGTGGTCATAGAGCAGTGGTCACCTGAACATCGTGCGTTTGTTATCGAGTGAAATTTAAAAAGTAATGATTCAGTCATTGCAACTCAGCGGCAGTTCCGTGCATTTTTTTAAAAATTGGGCGACGTCTATTCATTCAAGTGGCACATTCATGTGGTGAGTTACCAACTTTAAAGAACAATGGCTTCTGCATTTAAACAGAAGCTGACAAGCAATCCAAAGTCAGATCAGACGTCAGACAACTGGACCGGGACCGGGAAGATTCCCAAATAGCCTATTGGGAGTTTGTGGAAATTTTAAAATTTTGAACGTTTTAACACATATTGACAGTTACAGAACCTTAAAATTATGTTACCTAAGTAAATTCAAACAGTTTAATCCAAGAGTTGTCATTCCATGCAATAATTTCCTGTAATGTATAAATGTATAAACAAATAGGGATTTATGAAACCGAATGGATTTTAATCCTTTAACTATACATACCCCCGCCGCAGCAAACCTGCAGACTAAGCGAATTTCCATTTGCCTGATTGGATTTAGACTAAAATGTATCCTTAAAAATATCACATTTATTCCCTATTTAAATAGAATCAGTTTAACACATACTTAGGTTTGCTGCAACAGGGAGGGTAAAAGTGTTTTTTTATGTAAAATGTTAATAGTTGGTAAGAAATAAAAACATTTTCCAAATTTGGGCAAAATATGTTAATAAACAAGCACACTACAACGGTTTACTTATTCTCCATAAGAATAACATGGGAATTTTCAATTAACAATTTTTTGGAATTTTATCCGTAACCATTAGGCGCATTATAACGCTACAATATACCAAATTATTTGTTTTTTTAAGCTCTACAAAATAGTTTGGAAAGAAATTTCAAAATATGTTTTTTGGGTCAAAAATAGGAAAAACCCATTTTTACCCCATAAAAGCCCCCATAAACCCCTGTTCCCATGGTCCGATCATGCTGGTTCGCGAACTCGTTCGAATAAACGTAGGTGTACACGTTTGTACCAAATTTCATCAAAATCGGATCATTTTTGCTCGAGTTATCGCGCTAACGGACACATATATATATATATATAAATATATATATATATAAATATATATATATAAATATATATATATATATATATATATATATATAAATATATATATATATATGAATTTGAACGGATGGTGTTTTTGGCCTCTAGGGACCTCAAAACGAAAAAAAAAATCGGTCCCGGGTCCAGGGCCCTGTTTCATAAAAATACTAGTCTAGTATTTACTAGTCCATGGACTAGTAATACTAGTGTATTTTACAAGTCTACGTTTCAAAAACCTACTAGTGTAAAATACTAGTTACTAGTGTAGGGACTAGTATTACTAGTGGTTTTTACTAGTGTAGACAGCAATGTGTTTCATAAAGTTTTACTCTTGTAAATTACACTAGTAAATACTTGCTATTTTCTACCAACCTCTCTTCACCCGTATTATTTGAAGTAGACTAGTATTTTTGAAAAGAGAGTTATTTCATTACACACATAATTTAAAAAATGAGTTATTAATTTCTTTTTTCAAGTCCGAATTGGTTCACGAATAGATCTGTGAGTGCTAAAATGATAATAATTAGATATAAATTACAATCAATAAATGTGGCGTAGTACAAAATTAGTGAAATTGAATTTTATAATGTATGTACAATCGCCCTATTAGAATAATTATAATTATAAGCTATCAATTTCTGTGAAATTTTTGTCTAATTTTACTTGAGTTAAATTTCATGGTTATCTCAACTATTTAGCTATCACAGAGAAAATATTTTTAAGCTTTGATAGAAACCAAATTAAAACCACATACCGGAACCGTTTTGCATACAAAGATGTACAAAAATGTATCCAACATTGCAACATTAGTCAGATTATTTTAACCCAATTAAGGCTCTCGGTTTTATTTAAAGACATTTTAATAGGAAATAATAGTAAGGCAATTTTAAAGAGGAGTTGCATTGTATTTTTGAGGTGCTTATTATTTGCTAAATAGCTAAAATCCTGTGATGTACTAACAATTTTGTAGGCCTATATTTGATTTTTGGGCGTTGAACTGAACTGCTTATCATAATAACATTACTTTTAATCCATTTCGGTATTCTGAATTTGTTAATCAAAGTAATAAAAAAATAGATGTTGATTAGAGCTGTTATTTTAATGTAATACCCCCGCCGCAGCAAACCTGCCGACTAAGCGAATTTCCATTTGTCTGAATTGATTTTCAGTTAAATATATTTTAATAACATTAGGTTTAACGAGTACCTAGGTTTGCTGCTACAAGGAAACTAATAAAGTGTGTTTTTGAGTAAAATATTGATAGCTTAGTACAAAATAAATAAATTTGCCAAGTTTGATCAAAATATATTCATAAACAAGCAAACTACAACATTTGACAATATTCTCCATAAGAATAACATGGGAATTTTAAATTTACAATTTTTTTAATTTTCTCCGTTACTAATAATCGAACAAAAATACTTTTATATACTAAATTATTTGTTGTTTTAAGCTGTTTAAAAAGGTCTAAAGAGAAATTGGGAAATTTTGTGTTTTGAGGGTCAAAAGTGAGAAAAACCAATTTTTACCCCATAAAACCCCCCGTAAAGCCCCGTTCCCATGGTCCGATCGTGCTGGTTCGCGAACTCATTCAAGTTTATCCCGCTTTACACCTTTAAACCAAATTTCATCAAAATCGGACAAAAATTACTCAAGTTATCGCGTTCACGGACGTATATATATATATATATATATATATATAAGTCTATATATATATATATATATACATATATAAAAATTTGAACGAATAGTGTTTTTGGCCTCTGGGGACATCAAAATGAAAAAGTAAATCAGTCCCGGGTCTAGGTCTTACCGTGCCACCTACGGTAATAGCTACTTCCCTATAGGGAAATTCGCTAAAAACATGTAAAAGTTTAATTAATGGAATAAGAGTATAGAGAGTGGCGCAGATTTGAACCAGAGACTCACCACGACAATCAAGAACTCAGCCTCTGAGCTACGCCCTGCCATAGTGACAATGCCATGTTTTACTATACTTGAAAACCTACCATTTGCTTGAAAACCATTGCTTGTAACGGCGTTGCAATTATTTGTTACATCAATAAACGTTTAGGCTTATTATTCATGGTTTGTAGACTCAAAATTAGAATATCACCAAATAGTTTGTAACCCAAATATTCTTATGCATTCGAATATTTGAAAGCATAGGTTAGGGTACGAAAACGTTCCAAACAAAATGTCCTTAGACGATTTAATTACATTCAAAATTTGAGCCTTCTTTTCTTTACTCATAGCAAGCTTAATTTTATATGTCAGAATAAAACAAAAACTATACAAATCACAGCGAATGCGGCAGCATCAGATCAACTTCCACCCAACAGTTGAGCGCCGCAACTAGGCCTACAACCGGCTACTACAATCACCGTGTTGATTGCAGCGACGCGCGTCGGCGGGCTCATTGATGAACATAAATAATAGCGGTTTGATAAATAATGTGTGATTGTTTTACTTATGTGTCTATATAGTTATTAATTAAAAGAAAACACTGCGTTTCTACAACTATTTACTTTTTGTATCAAATGAAAACAAAATTAAAACCCTTTATAAAGGGTTTGAAAACCCGTGATTGAGGTTAGAAATTTGTTTTGAAAGTTTACCTTGTAAAGTTGGTCACGTGACTAGTAGTTTTGGTCACGTGACTAGTAAAATTCACTAGTATTTACTAGCGGTATAAAAACATTTATGAAACACAAATTAGTAGGACAGGTAAATACGGGACTAGTATTTACTAGACTAGTAATTACTAGACTAGTATTTTTATGAAACAGGGCCCAGGTCTTACCATGAGTACTACGGTAATGGCTTATTCCCTATATGGGAAAAATTCGCTAAAACTTGAGGTATTTATACAAAGCATTGTTTTTAGAACTCATGTTTTAACATCCTTTGGTCTAACATATTCATAACAAACTATATTTTAAAATTCCCTGTTTCTCTATGTTTTCCAGCTCTACAATTTGGCATTTTGAAGCAGTTAGGCCCGTAAATTTGAATTGACCCTATCGAGCTACTTGAGGCCAAAGGTTTTGTTTGAATTTAGGACGTCTTAAAAGTAAGAGAATGTCTAGCTGACTACATAGGAAAAAAAGAAGGCTTATTCTCAAAAAGTTTCTTTGGAAGGAATGGACGATGAGAATAAAATTAAACTAGATCACATTATCCTTTATAAGATTCGTTGATTAACAATGCATGTAAACGTCAATATCTACGTAACAGCCAATTTACAGTATGTTTTTCTCTTTGGAAATACCACATTGCTATTTCATTTGTATTATTTGTTGCCAATGAAGTCACACGACCATATAGTGATGTGCGATACGGGTCAATGTATCGATACATATCGGAACGTGGTGTATCGATACGTGTATCGTATCCTCATGTATCAATTTTTATCTGTATCGGATAAAATATCGTATCGTATTGCTTATTTATAATTTTTTTTTTAAATTTAAATATCTCAAATATACAAGCTACATAGACAAATACTATGTTACTTACAAGCTTGTAAAGAGGGTTAGTGCTTGTAATCTTACCTCAGATAAGCCGTTTCCTTCCTGTGTCTTTTTATTTGTATCAAACATACATACGTAACCTCCAAATTCCGGTAAACCCTCAAAATTGGAAAACATATTAATATTGTTTTCCTAGTTTTTACACAGGGATAATTAGTTAAACAAAATACCCCCGCCGCAGCAAACCTGCCGACTAAGCGAATTTCCATTTGTCTGAATTGATTTTCAGTTAAATATATTTTAATAAATAACATTAGGTTTAACGAGTACCTAGGTTTGCTGCTACAAGGAAACTAGTAAAGTGTGTTTTTGAGTAAAATATTGATAGCTTAGTACAAAATAAATAAATTTGCCAAGTTTGATCAAAATATATCCATAAACAAGCAAACTACAACATTTGACAATATTCTCCATAAGAATAACATGGGAATTTTAAATTTACAATTTTTTTAATTTTCTCCGTTACTTATAATCAAATAAAAATACTTTTATATACTAAATTATTTGTTTTTTTAAGCTCAATAAATTAGGTCTAATAAGGTAATAAATTAGGTCAATAAATAAAGGTCTAAAGAGAAATCGGGAAATTTTGTGTTTTGAGGGTCAAAAGTGAGAAAAACCAATTTTTACCCCATAAAACCCCCCGTAAAGCCCCGTTCCCATGGTCCGATCGTGCTGGTTTGCAAATTCATTCAAGTTTATCCCGCTTTACGCCTTTAAACCAAATTTCATCAAAATCGGACAAAAATTACTCAAGTTATCGCGTTCACGGACGTGTATATATATATATATATATATATATATAAGCCTATATATATATAAGCCTATATATATATATATATATATATATATATATATATCTAATATATAAAATTCTCGTGTCACAGTGTTTGTCTGCAAACTCCTCCGGAACGACTTCACCGATCGTTATGAAATTTGGTGTGTAAATTCTGTAGGTATGCGAATAGAAAGTAAACTATTTCCCGTTTCGAAATTCTTAAAAGGGCTCCGCCCCAGTGGCTCTGGAGTTTCCCATGTTAACCTTATGAGAAATGGAATTAATGAATCTTAACAGCTGTTTCAATTAAACAAGTTGGTTCTGTTCTATGATGTTCAATAGCATTAAAGCTACAAGGATTACCAACAGGGTGCAGCACTATTATTTCTTTTACATTTATGACAACAGCTAATTTGCAACCAAAAGGTGAGTGAGCGTAGCGAACGAACTTCAACCTGGAGGCGAGTGAGCGTAGCGAACGAGCTAACCTGAAGGCAAGTGAGCGCAGCGATCGAGCTCCAACCTAAAGGTGAGTGAGCGTAGCGAACGAGCTCCAACCCAAAGGTGAGTGAGCGTAGCGAACGAACTTCAACCTGGAGGCGAGTTAGCGTAGCGAACGAGCTAACCTGAAAGCAAGTGAGCGCAGCGAACGAGCTCCAACCTAAAGGTGAGTGAGCGTAGCGAACGAGCTCCAACCCAAAGGTGAGTGAGCGTAGCGAACGAACTTCAACCAGGACGTGATTGAGCGATGCGAACGAGATCATCTTGAAAATTAAACTTAACGGTACTTTCTTTCCATCGGTCTGTCTTAGGGGAAACCTATAACTTTGGCGATACGAAGTTCGCCGGGTCAGCTAGTACATATATAAAAATTTGAACGAATGGTGTTTTTGGCCTCTGGGGACATCAAAATGAAAAAGTAAATCGGTCCCGGGTCTAGGTCTTACCGTGCCACCTACGGTAATAGCTACTTCCTTATAGGGAAATTCGCTAAAAGTACTAATAATGACGGTGGGTATGCCACTTACACATTAAATAGTATAATATGGATAATGAGGGTCCCCACCACTGAGCTATAATAATATAACTAGAGTAAACCGCTCTGTGTTTTAAAAACGTACCACTGTTTTTGATGGTTTTGTTTCAGAGCTTCTTGTTGTTAGGTTGGCCAGGTGATCGGTTGGTGGGATTTGTCAAATTAGAGGCAAGATCAAGATGGTGTCATCCTATTGTCTTGTTGATAGCAAACAAAAATATGTTAACATTATGATTGCAATATAAGTTTAATTATTTATTTTACGAACAAGAGCAACCCATTTTAACAAGACCATAAACCGATGGTCGTTCTTTATCAAATGCCATAGGGCAAAACCCAAGACTAAACCAATATCTCCAAACCAGGAAACTTGACTAGCCTATTTTCACCACATAGCTTGAAAAGAGGTAAATAAGTTAGTAGCCTATTTATTTACTATCAAAAACAATTTATAATGTTTCAAAATAACTTTAAATGCACAGGTTTTAACGTGCAATAACTTAAATAAGTTTTTTATACAAATCCTTGAAATAACGGATAGGCCTAACCTCAAATGAATAGTATGGTTAGGTTAGAATGAATTGGAATTTGACAGCATCCCACCAACCGATCACACGGCCAACCTAACAACACGAAACGCCGAAAAGAAACCAGCAAAAACAGTGGCACGTTTTTCTCTAATGTTTAACCAGAGAGTAGTGACTCCAGACTCCAGTTATAATCTATATCACAATGGTCCCCACTTCCATTAATGGTGGACCTAGTTTTGAGGTAATTTGCAAAACATAACTGAAAATACATGTTTTATCAGTGTTTTTGAAGATGCTAGGATAAAATATCAAATTTCCACTACTAATTTTGAGGGGAGGAAGATAGGAAGACAAATTTCTTACCATAAAAATAAGATTTATATTAATAAATAAACAATACGATATTGGCTATAGGTGTATCGATACGGGCATATCGATACACTCCCACGTATCGATACAAAATATCGATACACTCCCACGTATCGATACAAAATATCGATATTTTGCAGTCCTTGTATCGATATCTGTATTGATACGTATCGATACGCACATCACTACGACCATATAAACGAGGAGGCCCCTACTGTAACTGTCGATTTCCACGGGTTTCACCTAGTATATAATAATACGAAAAGCAAAGATATCATAAGTATTCAAATCCCATAAAACCTTTTTGTTTTTAATGTGTAGTCTTTATTGTGATATGTAAATTTTTTTTTCAAAAAACATTTTTTATTTCCTGGGTATTTAAAAGGTTATTTTTCTTATTTGTCTATTATATCAATTACAATATTTTTTTGAACATAAGAGTGTTTTTATCAGACAACTACCTCAGTGACCTAGTATTTTAAGCATTTTAACTTATAAAATTATAAATTCCCAGTTATTTAGTTCAATTACAATTTTGTACTATAATATATTTCAGTATTTGTGGTTGATTTAACCATATAATTACGGCTTTTACCTATTAAGTAACAGTTTTAAACCTATCTTGCTAATTAAGCATAAACTCCCGGGAATTGATGAATTTTGGGAATAGCCTATTTCCTCGAATTTATATTCCCGGGAATTTTACATCACTGGCTTTGAACATGTCTGACCACTCGGTTAAACTAGTTTTGAGGTTCGATTTTAATTCTTATCCCTACAGATTAAAGATCATTCATCTGTTTAATTTTGTTAATTATCCATACAGATTGGATAGTGGCACCGGATCGTCTCCATGTCGACCTAATTTAGGCTGAATCATTACTTTTTAAAACAACTCGATTACAAACGCGTAATGCTCAGGTGACCACTGCTCTATGACTACAGATAATGGCATCATGTAGGCTTTCCAACGAGCCTACCCCCACCACCCTCAGACGACCTGTCAATGAACAGTGCGCTGCGAAAAATAGATCAGTTTTTTTGCCGCACCCTGTATTTTCCACGCTTTCGCCGCCAGTGATACCTATTCTAGTTTTTAGTTCAAATTTAGTAAACTCATTTAGCCACGGTTGAGTTAAATGCCTTGGAAAATACATGTCACCTATTTATAGGATACGGTACTTTGATTTAACAGAGTGGGATTAAAGAACCCCTTACTACACCACTGGTCATAAAACTTATTTTTATATTTATCTAACTTTACAGGTTTTACTGAACCAAAGAAATGTCCGTTATGCAACTACTGGGCGTGCGTTTGCTGAGACTGCTCTTGGAGCTGCTTTCAACACCTCTGTGCTTCCCAAGTCCAGCAACATCATAGTTTCTTTGAGCAATTACGAGTTTTTTGACAATCCCCTGGATCCAGTAAGTTGATTTGCAAATGACCCAGAAAAGTTCATTAAGCTATCTACAGTTCTATAATTAGATTACCTGACTGTTCAAAAGGGTGATCATAACTTTTGTTTGAATTCTATACTGAAAACCATGTTGTCAAACGTGGGACTGTAAGGTACTACCATGACATTATTTTATATTGCTCAGTGGAAGGTTAGCTTTTATACAGGGAGGTTCAGCCCAGAAGCACCTTTATATTGTGTGCTTGATTGTTTATTTATTCATGGCAATATGCCATTTTACATTAGAGTGCAGTTTATAGTTCGGCCGCTTAGAAAACGACCTGCGCGCTAATGCTAAACAATGCTGGAGGAGGTCGTTTTCTAAGCGGCCGACCTATAGCATACAATTTGCAAGAAGAAGTTTGGCAACAATAAACATGCATATTTATAAACAGTAAGTAATGCAATTCAAGTCAGCAAATTAATATTACAGTACACTCCCGATTGACCGAGGTTGTTGGGAATGAGATACCGAGAATCTCAGATAACAAGGAAGTGTCTTAGATTTTGAAGTTAGGGGTTACAATTCATCATGTACCTGAATTGACAGGCACTACAATACCTGTTTTATAAAGTCTTCTTAAAGTGGTTTTAATTAAATGTATTTAGGAAAAAAAGAATCAAAGTGTTTTTAAATAGTGCTTAAAGGTATTTTAAATAAGTAAGTTTTAAACAATAGTCTTTAATAGAAAAAATATCAAACAACACAAAACAGCGTGCTTTTATTATGCACATAATCTGTGTACGCTTGAAAATAAGTTGGCAACACTTAAAGATATTAAGACTACGATCAGCTGGTGCAGCGTTTCCCATTTCGTTCAATGTTTGGATTTAACCTAAACCTAACTTAAAAAAGGTGTTGTACACTGTACAGTGTTTGAAAGACTAATTATTTATATGATTTATAGTAACTGTAGGAAAAATATAATATGTAACACGAGTGCAAACTGCCTTTGCTGCACTCGAGTAAACATTTCTCTCGTTTGAAGCAAAGTGCCACTTCGCCCACTAGTTACACAAATAGAACATAGAACATTATGGTTATGGTAGATGTGCTATACTATAGCTTACCGATACCTAAATTAAAAGAACCAAATTTTCTTAAACCGTGTTATCTCCCATTGCAAATGCAAAGCACGAGTATAACTGCAAAATAAGCATTTCATACTTATACGCCAACACCGTACAACACGGACACACATGGACGCACATGCTCATGCACATGCACATGCATGGACGGGTAATCTGCTAGTTTTTTATTTACAGTATTTAATGCACCCTGATCTTGTTTTTATTAGTTTCTGTAAGTTTGGAAATAATTTTTTCAGTTTTACGTAGTTTTTCAATTAAATTGTTTTGAACTGTTAAAAAATTGTAATGCAGTAAAACCTCACTACAGTAACTCGACAATTTGTTGACACAGAGGTTTTCAAGATCGGGGTTGTCGAGTTATCCAGAACATTGAAATTTATAATGGGTTTTAAAAATCAAAACTTTTAATAAATGAATTCATAACAGACTATTTTTTACATATCAATTTATAACTTACATGAGTTTTGAGTAAACATTCTTCAAAGAAATGTCGAATATTCAAAAATTAAAACTTGAAAAGTCAAACAAATTAATAAGAGAAAGCCAGCTAAATAAGCGCCCTGTCAGTGTCAGCTGTAGATTGTTGAGTTACAAAGACTATCGAGTTACTGGGTGTCAAGTTAGTGAGTTTTCAATGTACCTGCAAATAATTCACTGAAATACTTTTGCACAACTATTTCCATTGTATATCCTTGCCCTTGCAATGAAAGATAACAGAGGTCACATTCTACTTAAGATAGTTACATTTCTATATTGAAAAAGTTATTTGAAAGTAATAGCTAGATGCCACATTGACCATGCAACTGTTTTCTGAACTTTAGAACTTGAAGTTGTTAGAGTCGCAGTTGTGGAGTGCTACAAAGCAGTTGGTGGATTACCTACATGAGATCATGGTGCAACTGTTAAAGACTAGCAGGGAGGATACTCTCGCATGGCTAGGGGCATGTCTGGACAGGAACGCACCCCGTGGTAAATACCATACCTCCAGATATTATTAGTATAGAAATCGCTGTGGAGATTTGCTTCTTGTTTTTGAGTGAAAATTTAAAAACGTATGTTTTCATGTCCCTGGCCTTTTACTTCGTAGATACTGGATTTGTAGTTTATTATTATGTGTTTTAATATTTTTTGGGACGGGGGCAACATGTTACACACATTTATTTGGTTTTAAATAGGTTCTAGGTATTTTTTTCGTATTTTTAAAGTCTCGAAATTCACGACCATGACGTGTCCCTAGGGTACATTTTCCAACTTTCACGCTGTTTTTAGACTAATTATTCATGCCGAAATATATAAAGCCATATTTTTATGTCATCAATGGTTATTAAACTTAGAGAATATTATAATTTTATTGTCATTGCAAACTGACTACCATGACAAAATAAGTCTGTCCCTCGATTTGGCGTCACGACCATTTGGGGAAAATTTTCAACTTTGGAGCACGACAGTGGCAAGCCTGGCGTCGATGGAGTCAGTTGGTTTGAGAGACTAGTTCGGGGTGTACGTCAGGATTGTAGTGCTGGTCGTTTCGAGTTAAAAGGAGGAATTACAAGATTAATAAAGGAAAGATTGTGTTTTAGCGAATTTCCCATATAGGGAATAAGCTATTACCGTAGTACTCATGGTAAGACCTGGACCCGGGACCGATTTTCTTTTGTTTTGAGGTCCCTAGAGGCCAAAAACACCATCCGTTCAAATTCATATATATATATATATATATATATATATATATAGTTAAGGAAACAGTACAATTCTGACCGGCTTGTACAATTCTGGCCGGATAGGTCAGAATTGTATAACTAGAGGTCAGAATTGTACTGTTTTACTTTATAAACGGTCAGAATTGTCCTGTATCTGTACATGGTAACACATTTCGGTCTGGGCAGAGGAACATCCAGGTGAAAACATTTTAAATGGGCTAACCTAATAACACTTACACTCTAAATAATTTAAAAGTTCATCAACCAAGAGTTATTGTTGGTTTTTTCTTATATAAATTTTGTTGTTTTGATTTGTTAGGTATCCCAAATGTGAAACTATATTACTTGTTGAAACAGGGTCTAGAAACAGATTCCAAACCATAAAATATTGCTATAAGCTTTTAGTAAGAGTACCTACTCCAATGAGGCCCACTAGTCGAAATTAGCATAGGTACGATAGTTTAATCTTCAACCAGTGTCTAGGAATAAAATGATATAGCAAATAATGCATTCTTTTTAATTACCAATCCCATCGGTTTTGAAACTTGAAATCTGAGAAAATGTCACAGTAATATGTTTAAATTAGCCACAGAATCAATTTTCTGACCTTGCAAACAAGTGTCTGGGGTTCAAATCCTAAATCATAAAATCATAGTTTTTTTTTAAATTACCATCCGATTTGCCTGATACTTGAAAACAGACTGTTTTAATTAGGTATTTCTAATTTAGGGAGTAGAAACTAGCTATTATCCTGTTAGCTTTAAATTTGAAATCATTAATCAAATCATGGAGGTATTTTAGAATTAGTAAGTAAATTTATGATTTTACCATTTACCGAGCGTCTAGGGTTCTAATCTTGTAGCTTAACATTTTATTATTTTTATTTATTATCCGATTAGCTTGAAATTTAAAATCATTGTACGTATCAGGGTGTATTTCAGAATTTTTAGTATAACGATGATTTGATTATTTCTGAGGGTCTAGGTTTCATCTTATTATGTACAATAAAAACAAATTTGTTATTCATTATCCAATTTGCTTAAATATATTGACATCAGAGTACTTATAAAGGAGGTATAGAGAAACGTATTTTTCTAGTATTCGTGATAGAAACTAAATTGTAAAACTTGGATTTTATTCATTTAAAAATATTAGGTAAAAAGTTCTTAAATTATTCTTTAAATCCCATGTTGTGTGTTATGTGTGCTTCATAATAGGGGTTTACTTTTTTGTAGCTCAGTTTGACGGTTTAACACAATAAATAGGAGTAATTGTGTTTGGTACATGGACATAAACTCCTTGTCCAGTAACAAGAAAGATCACACAATTATGACCACTCGGCGCTGTCTTCGTAGTTTGAGTTGCACAGTGTAGGTATCACTCATCGAACTATATAACACAACTGTTGTTTTATATACTTCGACGGTATCACTTGAAACTACCGTAAGCGCAATTCACCCGCAGTGTAGTGGTCAAGCCACCCGCCTCTCTGCTGTCGGTCGGCGTGCCGGGTCGACACTTTCTTCAATTTTCTTAAATTTTTCATTATCGAAGGCGTTTTATTCTTCCATTGTTTTCCTTCATAATAATTTATAAGGTAACTGTTAATTGTACCATTAAAGTTCATGAACAACTGTTAAAGACTGAGATACTTTGATTACGCCCTCAAGATGCTAATTACGCATAGTTATTATTTACGCACTTCGTTTTTGGGATCAAGTTAAGGCACTTGTTTTATTACAAATATTTTTCCATATTATCATGCCGATTGAGATTCTTTATTTGACTGCTTAAACTTAACAAATGAAATTGAGCGTGGTGTTATTGTATTGACTATAGTTGCCAACTATACTCTAGAAATTCGCATTGATGTGAAAATCACCTCTTCTTATGAAATTTATCTATAAAGTGAAGTGTGAACTATACAGAACCAGCGTCAAGCTTTAGAGTCAGAGCTTCTAGCCGCCAATGTTCAAGTTGTAAAGGAAATATCTGCTTACCTCGGACATCTCAATCGACACTAATAACTGTTTGGTTGGTGAGCAAAATGTTTTATTAGCTTTGAAGTTTGAAACTTCTGAAATTGTATTTAAAAATTGAAAAGTGAGCATGACCGTTTGTTAAATGAATATGAGGTAATCCTAGCTTCAAACCGTAAGTTTATTGTAGAAAATGACAGACTGAATAAATTAATACATATAAATAGAGCTTTCAAATAATGCAGATACGGTTGAATAACCTAAGGTTTGTTCTCCAGAAAGAGCTCCACACCAGTCTACTAGATTTTTTAGTCTAGTCTGTTGATGAGGAAAAGTGGTTTCCTGATATTTTTGTTAATGATCACTTCACTTGGTTTAATTCTGAAATTTGTTGATGTATAAAAGATTTCTTGTTTGTTGGTCTTTTGGTCTTTAAGTGAGACATCTTTTAAAGTTGTGTGGTTCTGAGGGTCCATGTTGAAAGGATTTAATGTTTGATAATCAGAGGTTGTACTGCAAAAGACAACAAAGTTCTCATGTTTATATGCTTACACTGTTAAGCATAATAAATATTTATAGCTTAAGCTTGTGAGATAAAATAAGTATTACTGATTAAAAATTGAAGAACATATTTGAAAGGATAAACAATGTAATTACTGTAGAAATTTAAAAAGACAATGATTAACAGATAATCACAACAAAACAAAATTATATAAACCCCTTAAATAACTAAAATATTAAAAAAAATTAATGTGTCTGAGAAGGGTGAGGAATTAAAAAGTCAGACATTTGAGGTAGTAATGGTTACATTTACTTTAACATTCATATTTTCAGGGTATCTCGTAACTTTACAACTATAAATTTGTACACTGCTCTTATGTGACAATCTAGTCTCTGAGGATGAATATTAAGTAACATTTTTTTCAATTAGAAATATTTAATATATTGCCAGTTTTCTAACACTATAAATTATCAAAGTAAAACAGTGATTTTAGAAGAACTTTTAATATTCCAAGTAAAATTATGTAAAAAAAATCTTTTCCCCTTTTCTTTAAAAATATACTCCTAACACACCATATGGTAACATAACATTGTGTTGACTATGACATACACCTATTGATGGTTCCATTGGTTATTATGTTACCATATAATAGTAATTTCAACATTATTAAAGACTTTTTGAAAAAAAAATACGAATGAATAAAACGAAATATGGGGTTGCACTGCTGTTTGAATCATTATGGCTTGCTTTCAACATTTACGTTTCTGCACGTTTGTTTAAAAGTTGCAATAGCAAGGAAGTTATTATTTAGGCCTAATTTTTTATTATAAAGAAGAAAAAATTATATGAAAAGGTTTTTAAATATAGTAATAATTAAATAAATAACAACACCTACAGCCAATATGTTCACAGTAATTCCACTATCAGCAAACTTTGTACTCTTTTTTTTATTTCAATAGATGTAATCTCAATAAATTGGGAAACTAATATTTTCCTTACAATTAGTTGGAAAAAATTGTCCTTTTAGTTGAAGGAAAAAGAAACCTTATTAATTTATATTAATTGGGTTAAAATGCAAATGTGTTTATTTGTGTGAAGAAAAACAAACAAAATTATGTAATTTAATCCTTTTAATGTTAAAAATTTTGAAATGCTTTGAATTTTTCAGAATTACATAATTTATATGAATTAAATTCGGTATTTAGCTGCAGTATAGTATGTCTTAATTACCTACATTTATAAGTGTCACTTGACTTGATATCAAAGCTGTATCATAACCAATGGCAAAACTCTTAAACGGTGGCCTATTTAAGATTTAAAATAGTCCTGTGTTTCTGAGCTGCATTGTTATTTCTTAACAGCCATGAATTCAGCAGGTATTTATTCCAAAGTGAGAGATCCGAACCCAGTACACGCTGTTGTTATGCCCTTGTAAGTTACTTGGAGGATATAATTTCAAACGAAAGAATGTCCAATTAGCAACTACCAGGCATGTACATATGAGTCTACTTGGGATCACACCAAATACACAATGTCATAAACGACCCAGTGACACGATAAATGTAGTTGAGAGAAAAATGTTAATAATATATACATAAAATGTTGACAACATTCCGCAATACATCTTGTTAAAAAAAAAAAAAAAAACTGTAATTTGTTATGAAATCCATTAAGACCATGAAGAATTAATTGATAACATTTTAAAAACTAAATTGAACATTATTCATAAAAGTGACCCTGTTATTTTATTTTTAAGTTATGGCCTTTATTAAGCTAATGTGTGTAAGA